CCTTCATTTCTGAAGAAGGGTCTAGGCCCGAAACGTCAGCCTTCCTGCTCCTCTGATGCTGCTTGGCCTGCTGTGTTCATCCAGCTCTACACCTTGTTATCTGAGTCTCCAGAATCTGCAGTTCCTACTATCTCTGAGGAATTGTAGTGCTACTTTTTTTTTCCCTTCACCCCCGCCCCCGAAACCCCCGGCACCTTCTCTTCCACCACGCAGGTACGTGGTTGTTTAATTTGTCAACAAAAATAACAGTTTAAGTACTTTTTTTTTTTCAGTGGTGGAAATAGAAATGCAAACTAAAAATTTAAGAGGGGATTTAATTTCTATACTAATCAATTTTTTTTACATTTTTCTCCTCCCCCATCCCCCCTCAACAGTTGCGACTACTGCTAAAGAAGCTTTGTCCACTGCTGCAGGTACATTATGTATTCACTGAGTGATATGTCCTATTTATTAACAGTAGGAGGTACTGCGGATTATGTAATACTAACACTCAACAAGAAATCCTGGTTTGTTTGGGGTTTCTTGTGCTGTAAATGTATTATTGAACTGTTTTTTCATTGGGATAGACTTAATTTTTGAAGAATTGTAATCCTTTCACTGCATCCTAAGCGCTGCTGTTTGTCTGGATGCAAGTTTGGGAGAAACTGACCTTGCATCTTGTTGATGGGTGAAAACAGACTGCAGAAGGAATGTTTGCATTACCTTTATAAAAGTTAGGCATTAACATGGGAGTTTTGATGCATTTCAAAAATCAAAAAATTATTTTTTTTAAAAAAAAAACTAGTTTAATTTGTCACAATTCAGATGCAAATAGAACAGAACGTACAGGACAGGAACAGACTCTTCAACCCACGAAGCTGTGCCAAACATGATGCCAAATTAAACGGATGTAATAGCTGGATAGAATAACATGCACTCATCCCCTAAATGAATAGGCTGCCCAGAAAGCTGCAAGTTTATAAAAGTATATATTTTGTCTTTAGACTGGACAAGACTTCTGCTGTAAAATGAGGATGTGCGGTATTGGTAAAATCTTTCCAAGGTGTTTACCATCTGCCAATCAATATTTTAATGGACCATTTAAACACAATGTAGACTAATTGAATTTTTATAGCCAAATATCGCCCATTCTTTGAAAAAGATAAAAGCACCTTCTTTCCACAGATAATCAGGGCAGCTCTTGTGACTTTTCTTTTAATGCAAGTATATTTGCCAATGCATTGCACATTGGATAAAACAGTATTGGTATTCACCACAAGAATCTGGATTCTTTATAGCTAAAGTCTCAAGAAATTAAACTGGACGGATCACCTGGCATTGACCTAGACAGCAGCAGAAATGACCCTGCTGCGCAAAGTCCTCCTAGCGAACATCTGGGGGTTAGTGCTACAATTGGGAGAACTGTCTCTCCGATTTAATTAAGCAACAGCCTGACCTTGTCTGTAAGGTATGATTCCATGCATATGACAATGTCCCAGACACCACCACCACCACCACCATCCCTGAATGTGTCCCATCGGCAGGAAAGACCCAGCAGAAGTGGTGGCACGGGGGATACAGTATCAAGCAGCAGCTGCTTAATGACACCCCATCTGGGTTCTGCCCTTAACATTCAATGGTGTTACCATCACTAAATCCCCCACTATCAACATCCTGAGGGTTATCATTGACCAGAAACTCAACTGGACTCACCACATTAACAGAGTGGCTCCAAGAGCAGGTCAGAAGCTAGGAATACTGCAGTGAGTAACTCCCCTCCTAGCTCTTCAAAGCCTGTCCACCATCTACAAGGCACAAGACAGGAATGTGATGGAATACTCCCCACTTCCCTGGATGAGCGCAGCCCCAACAACACTCGAAGCTCGACACCATCCAGGACAAAGCATCCATAAGCATCCACTTCCTCCACCACCAACACTCGGTAGCAGCAGTGTGTACTGTCTACAAGATGCACTGCAGAAATTCACCAAAGATCCTTAGACAGCACCTTCCAAACCCACGACCACTTCCGTCTAGAAGGACAAGGGCAGCAGAAATATGGAAACAACACTATCTTCAAGTTCCCATCCAAGCCATCTATCATTCTGACTTGGAAATATATCACCATTCCTTCACTGCCACCGGGGTCAACATATTCCCTCCCTAATGGCATTGTATGTCAACCCACAGCAGGCAGACTGCAATGGTTCAAGGGGGCAGCTCACCACCACCTGCAAGGGCAACGAGGGATGGGCAATAAATGCTGGCCAACCTGCGATGCCACGTCCCACAAATGAATAGTAAACAAAATCTCAATCTTTTATGAAGTACTTGGATGAACACTTGAAATAACATAACATCTCAGGCTATGAGTTGGAAAGTGGGACTACTGTAGATTTAGAGATAGCAAGAACTGCAGATGCTGGAGTCCGAGTCAACATAGTGTGGAGCTGGAGGAATGCTAGCAGGCCAGGCAGCATCAGGAGCAGGAGAGTTGACTTTTCAGGTCGGGACCCTTGGGGGAAAAAAAAGTCAACTTTCCTGCTCCTCTGCTGCCTGGTCTGCTGTGCTCCTCCAACTCCAACTCCAACACTGTCTACTGTAGATTTTAGATGAGTTTTATATTGGTGCAGATTTGATTGTCTGAACAACCTCTTCTATGCTGTATCATTCTGATTATAACAAACTACGTCTGCAGACCCTATACTCTTCTACAGACTTGGTGAAGGTTACCTACTCTGGAGAAATGTGCTGCATTCAGTTAGCATGTTCCAGGCATTTGGCTGTACTTGTACAGCAACAAACAACTTGCTGACTCTTTGCTTACTACAGCAGTAATGATCTCAAATGTTGCACACCCGCTGATCGGTTTAGTAGCCTGCAGTATCATTTATCTTCTCTTGAAAGAGGTAAAAATAACACCTCACCATAGCCCTATGTAATTTTCACAGCTTTAAATTGCATTGAGAAAGACAATTTCCAGTCTGACAAACTTGCTTAATTGAGTAAAGACCTGAGATGTTGAAAATAAATCACTCAGTTCTGGAAGTTTAATTGAATAACTTTTTTTTTTTTTATTCACTGGTAGTAATTGAAGGTGACATAATTAACTTAAGGAATTTATTGCTACATATGGAGTCATGTTTTTGAAAGAAATTTAAAATGGTTTGGTTTAAAGTGAGTTGGGAAATCATTTCAATTGCATCCTGCTTAAGTAGTAAATCTAACTATTGAACCTCTGTAGCCTTCTAACACTACTGAGGAAATATTCAATCATTCTGGGCCAATATAGCCTTAAAATCGATTAGTTATCTTGTGACTGAACACACAGAATTCCTCACTTATGACAGTGACTGTTTGAGGATCTTTCATCTTTTGAAGTTGATACAGTTAATTAACGTAAGTTTGATCAAGTGTACCCATTATCATCTGCCATAAATTCAAGGTTGATGTCTACTTAGGGTCATGGATTTCCCCTGTAGGTCTTTGTGTCTGAACAGACCAGTACTCAGTCTCCAGCTGGATCATTTGGGCAGGATACCCCTGAGATACTGGGACCTGATGCACTAGAACAAATACCAAACATGTTCTAGAAATCCTGCTCTTGGTTATTAAATAGTGCGTACTACACTTTTTTCTTTTTTCCCCAGATTCTTTCTCCTGGCTAGGATGGACAATTGTCTTGGTTTCACGTTTTGGTTCACTTTTTTTCTTCCCATTTCTCTGCCCTCCCTCCCTTTCCTCAGACTCCTGCTCTCAAACTTTTTTTATCACGAAGATCTGTAGGTAATGAGGAGTCCATGTTGTGCCTGCAGCTATACGATGTTCTACTAAGTGCTCCAATTAGAAAATATGTTTACAACTGCAACCAGGGGAACCACTTAATCTGGAGAAAGTGCCCTGCAAGGTTAAATGCACAAATTCTAAACATGTGTCCCTTATATTCCTCTAAAAGTGTGAGGTCATGTGCAGAAGTGCCCAAACACTTGGCTTCCCTGACTCTCCGATACAGATTGGATACTGGTCAACACACAAAACTACTCGTTAACTTGCCTGCATCAGGTCACTGAAATGGCCAAATCACGCATGCTCCATATTCGTAACGGATAATCAAACTGACAGGGTGTCCATTGACACCATTGGTGTTCTCCTGGTGAAGCATTCACAAGGTAGCAACTAAGATGTACAGAAATAAGTCTAAACATTCAGTAATAGAGATAAACAAGGTGTAGAGTTGGATGAACACAGCAGGCCAAGCAGCATCAGAGGAGCAGGAAGGCTGATGTTTCGGGCCTAGGCCCTTCTTCAGAAATGAAGAAGGGTCTAGGCCCCAAACGTCAGCTATGCTGCTTGGCCTGCTGTGTTCATCCAGCTCTACACCTTGTTATCTCAGATTCTCCAGCATCTGTAGTTCTTACTATCTCTTAAACATTCAGTAATCCAAGTTTTTATTCAAACTTGGAAGCAAACGGCTTTTGGTATCCAAGATACAACAATACATTTTCTTTCAAAAAAGATATTCAAAGGATTTCCTCCACAAACTCTCCAGTTTTGAGCCTCCAGTCTCATCTTATCTCCTCTCATCCTGCCAATTGTAGCTGTTGTATATGAAGGTCCTGCCCCCTCAACCCCTCTCCTCACCTGAGGTGTGGTGACCCTCTAGTTAAACCACTACCAGTCACTTCTCCTATTGAGAACAGCCTTATGGGCTGGGAAGACTGTAGTGACTTTACTCTTTCACCTGTGACTGTTGTAGCAGTTGCAAAATTGAGTACATTTTCTAATTTAAGGAAGGGTCACTGGACCCGAAACATTAACTCTTTCTCTCCGCAGATACTGCCAGACCTGCTGAGTTTTTCCAGCAATTTTTGATTTTGTTCTGATTTCCAGCATCTGCAGTTCACTTTTTTAATGTAAACTTTCTAATTGGTTTATTCTGCAGAATAACTAGTGACCATGCTCATTAGTGCAAGTTGAATGCTGAATTGCGGAACTTTACACTAAAGGCTTTACCAAAATCTATTTCTTGTTGCCCATTTTAATGCCCAGAAGGCAGGTTTTTACAATATCTGCATGTGCTGGTGTGGGCTGCATTGTTAGATGCCTTTAAAGAAATGTTGCTTTTAGTCCCTATGTTTTGCTTTTGAAAATCCTCATTGAACAAAGCATTCTAACTAACCTTCATCCTTTCCCCCTTTGTTGAATTATATTGTCTCAATATGCATTTTCCAGAAAAAAAAGTAGTGCAGATTGAACCTGCAGGAGGCAGTAAAGACTGAAGAGTGTGACTCTGACTGTTTTGGTTTCTGTTGTAAACACTGGAAGCAGCCTTGGGCAATCTAGCTCTCCACTGATTATTAATTAAACTTGTTGGGACTTGTACCTGGTTAGTTATTTACTTGCTGTTGTGTGGGAGTATTGATAGGAAGAGGGTTTAGTTCGGGGGGGTGATCATTGGGAATCTCTTTCCAATGCATGCTTTTGTGTAGTATCACTTAATATTGAGAGGAAGGAATGATTTTAGGAGTTTTGTTTCTGTTAATGCACCAGTTAATTTAACTTGAAGAGCTGACCCAGGTGACTGTGATTTACTTTGCTGAGAAAAGACACTCCATGTGGAGTCGCTGTAAGTAGCCATGTTCAAAATGCTTTATTTATACCTGACCAGGGAAGTACAGGTTGTGCCTCTGTAATCCAGCAAATTTGGGACCAGGCCTCTTTCTGGAGCAGAGAATTGCCAGATGTCTGAAGGGTCTGTGATCCCGCTTCCAGCATATCTCTTCCACTCAAACCACAGTGTATTTGGATATGGGACGTTCACATGTATAACCAAATTGATCAGCTCCTACAGTATAATAGTGATGTGAGTTAAGAGGCTGTTGTATAAGGCAGTGATTGATTCTGAAGGGATCAATGTTTGTTGCAGTTACTGCAACCGTTCTACTGATGTCTGTCTGTCAGTTACGATAGGGAGCTCTAACCTTTCCAAGGGAGAAGATGTACCTGTACCAGCTCACTAAGATCCTAGTAATCACGGCTAAGCAAAGGTACTACTGCTGTCGTACAACAAGTCCTCTTTATTATCTAAGAACAGTATCTCTTCCATAGATGCTGCACAGTGGTGTATCATCTACCACTAATTACTAAGTGGGCCCAAAAGACACAGGGGGTTTGGTGACAATGAGCTACCTCAAGCAATCATTATCCACTACCTCTTATTGTTGGAGATGACCAGATACCAGGGAATGGTCACCTGGGGAAAAGACTGTTTTAATTGTGTAAACTGTTTGTGAAGCTTTTTTAAATGTGGATGTTTTTCCTTTCTTTGTAGAATCCGATACTACCACAGAGATTCCAACGACGACTCCTGTGTATTCACCCTCCAGCTTTGACCCAGCCAGTTTCATCGGAGGGATTGTCTTAGTTCTGGGAGCTGAGGCAGCGTTTTTCTTTGCAGTCAAGTTCTTCAAAGCACGAGATGGAACCTACCAAACTCTGTAAGAACCAACCCACCTTCTGAATGTGGCATGCAGATCATTCTTGTCATGCTGTGCAGTGGACTTCATTTATTTATTCTTTTTTTTTAAACCCCCCAACCTCTTGTTTGCTGCTAGTTTTAGTATTGATGTTGCATGTGCTTCCTCCTGCATGGTTTGTTTGCTGATGCTAAAAAATGTTGTAACTTTTCTTATTTGTTCAAAAGTATTGATCCTATGTTATGTGCAGAAAAGAGCAGGTAAATGTGCTTTATAAATAGGTTATTGGTGGGCTTACAATAGGTCCCAGAAAAATTCATGCAAGTAAGATTTTTCAATAAAGAAAACTTCCTCAATCTCCAACTTGCCCTGTCTTCCTTTTTTAAAATGACAAGAAATACTAAATATTTTATAATCTTGATGAGAATTCTGGATAAAATTCTCTCTTGGAATTGATCAGAACAATTGGAGAGACCAAGAACTGAGTGGGATACAAGAGGAATTGATCCATTGCTTTCAAATTTAAGTAATTAGGGAATTAGGAAGACTGTTTCTCACACTGGGCTAAAGTGGGAGAGGAGCTGGAATATGAGGTCAGGGCTTGGGAGATATAGAATTTAAGTGAACTAAAAAAGTAGGTAATTAACTGTAATTTTAAATTACAAATACAGTTGTGAAGTGTTAAATCCTCACTTGGGATTCAGTGGGCAATTATATTTTAGTAAATACAGCACAACATCTTCAATTGCAAGAGAAACATCTGACACAACAGAACATCTGCAGTTCTGGTTTCTGAAGATCTGAAACAAAAAGTAGAAATTGCTGGAGAAACTCCAGCAGGTCTGGCAGCAGAGTTAATGTTTCCAGTCCAGTGACCCTCCTTCAGGAAAGGAACCCGAAGGAAAGACACACTGGACTTGATCAAAGGCAGCACAGCTTCAAAAAAAAAGGAAAATTTGGAACAAGTACCTGAAAGAGCCTTTCGTGAAGTGGCGGCTAATGGAATCTCTCCAATTTGGAAAGAAGTGAAATAAAAGTGCTGTGATGAGACTGTAGGGTTATGTTGAATAGAGCAGTTGCCATGTGCCAAAAGCCCTTCATTATTTGGTGTCATGTGTCCTTGTGGTGCAGTGTTAAGAATCAGATCAGTACAACAAGTGGCTTCTAACATTCATTTCCATAGTCTTCGAGTGATGTCTAGGCAGTCTCACTAATAAACTATAGTTAAACTATAATCCCACAGCTCCCTAATGTGCAGTATCACTTCAATGCGCGGTGTTACACCTTGGGTTTATGCATTCAATCCAAAAGATCTTCCAGTTAGTTTTCTAGTGTAAAGATAATTGCAATAAAAGAAGTCAGCAAAGATTGAGTTTGCACCTGCACTCCTAATCCTTGTGTATTGACCACCTTTTTTGGCTGATGAGACTGACGCGAGCCTGGTGGGTTTGAACAACTCTGGTTACTTTAACTGAAAGTCGTCTTCACCAGTGAACCTCCTGGCATGTTGTTTGTGTGGTTTGCTCTTCTCTTCTCTTTATTGAAGGCCATAGCCAAACATGTGCAATTCCCTTTGTTTTCTTTTGCTGTTTACTTACCTGTTGACTTGCCTGTTGAAGGGTGTGTGTATGGGCGTGTGTACGTACAATAAATTATGGGGAGCATCAGGACATCTTGAATTTGGCCAAGATTAGTCATGTACTCAATTGCACTGGGAGCTCCAATTTGTTAGTGTTTGGTTCCATTCTGTGAGTCATTCAAATGCATTATAAAAACTGAAAGAACTGCAGATGCTGGAAATTGGAAACAAAAATAGAAATTGCTGGAAAAGCTCAGCAAGTCTGGCAGCATCTGTGGAGACAAAGCAGTGTTAATGTTTCGGGTCCAGTGACCCTTCCTCGGACTTGACGGTAGTTAGGAAAACTTTTTTTAAATACAGAAGATAGGTTGGGAGGAGGAGGTAAGGAGTACCTTACCACAATAGGACATAGAGCATTGTTCAGCCATTTCCTTAATTTCTGCTTTTGGACCACAGATTAAAACTGGCCACTTATACTTGCAACCTCTTAATGGTTTGTTCAAGACTCCAAATGGCTTTTGGCTCCCACATGGTATTAGAAGGTCATCATAATATAATTGTAACGTTCCCTGACAAAATTTTGTTTTTAAATCTGTTCCTCTAATTTTTTTTTAAAATTCCAGTTGACGGTCTTTAGGAGTGAAGTGGAAGGGATGTACAGAGTAATGTAGACTGACTTTTTTAATATTAATAACTTGCTACCTGAATGACATTTCATCAGAGAACGGTTGGGGAAATATGAAGAAATCCTTGCGACATCCAGTTCTGTCTCCATTGGTTGGCATTTGTCAAACCTTTTTAGATTGTTGTTGGGTGAGGTAGGGGAAGAAGTGAATTGGTTCTTCCTCCTTGAGCAATAGAAGATTTATTCATTGATGCCAACATTAATTATGTTTGTTTGTAATGTGAAGGTACTGCTGTAGTTTGTGTGCTGGCTTGCATTGTCTGTCTGCTTCATTTGTCTCTCTTTTTTGTTCCATCTTAACGCATGCTGCAAGTAGTGAGGAGGCACAGTAGATTGTGTAAGAACTGGCTACGACATGACTCGCCTATAAAGGAAGTAATAGTTTTGCCCTTCAAGCGGACAAGCAAACAAAATTCCATTTGCTTTTAATGTCTTTACAATGTGCACTAACAGTGCATTTTTTTGTGTGCTGTGCATTTGTCATGATTCTGTTTACAATGATTCACCATTTAAATTTGAGATTACAATTTCTGCAGGGAAACATCGTGATTTTAAAAAGATACATTTAGTACTTTGACGACTGCTCATTACTCAAACATTGGGCTAGTACAAAAGGTGATGTCCCGTAATTTTTTTTTAATCTGCATTTATTCTGGAGATCTTGATTCGGAAGACAAACAGGAGAACTTTCTTGCAAGTTGTCAATACAACAGTTTGTTAACTTTCCGATTTTATTTTTTGGGTTGCTCAGTAAAATGGAACTAGGATTGAACACAAATTAGTTTTCCTACTTGGGTTTCTTTTCCCTGTGTTTTTTTTTAAGATTCCTTTTTTTTTTCTATTTTGTTGACTAGAGCTGGGTTCAAAACTTACCCTCAGGCTATCCTCCAGTGTAATTATAAACATTTGGTTTGAAGATGTTAGGGTATTTTGTCTTTGGATTTGTTCTTATTCACTTTCTTCCTGTCCACCTATTGAAAATCTAGTCCACTAACCCTAACGCCTGAGGGTGAGAGCTTCATGTATTTGGATGAGTAATAATTCTATTTTTCTGCCATTTGGTCCAGTCTTGTTTTTCAGTAACTCAACTGTGCCAATGATGGCCTGACCTTCTGACTGGTAAACCGCAGCAAATGATTTCGGCATTTGATACCAACTATTACCCAACAAAAGCCTTAGAGCTTGCTTCCTTTTTTTAATCTGCACGTTTTCAGTGAAAGCTGAATAGATTCCTGTCTAGTGACTTGGAGACAGCAAGGACTGCAGATGCTGGAAGCCAGAGTCTATAGGTGTGAAGCTGAAAAAGCACAGCAGGCCATACAGCATCCGAGGAGCAGGAAAGTCAATGTTTCAGTCCAAAGTCCTTCATTAGGTTTCGGCCTGAAACGTTGACTTTCCTGCTCCTCGGAAGCTGTCTGACCTGCTCTGCTTTTCCAGCTTCACATCTATAGACCCCTGTCCAGTGTTTATTAATCATTATTCAGTATTATGATTTGCAGACTGTAATTGAGCAAGAGTGAAATATATAATGTTGTGTTTTAAAATTCTTTGCTAATTGGTACGATAGTGTACCATGTTTAAAAGGAAAATTGTTGATGTAGAACGTGGTTATCTCTCAAACAAGAGCGATCTCTCCCTTCTATGGTCTACTTTGGGACCTGCTGTCAGAGCTTGTTTGGATACAGCACTAGTGCTGCTGTGAACTGTCTGCAGTGTGATTCGATACAATCCGTCTTAACAGGACAATGTCCTGCCTTTACTTTTGTGTCATTCTGAAGGAGCGTGCACCCTGACGAAGCACTGATGGTATTGAAGTCTGAACATTTAGATTGTTGGCTTTGAACTATCTGAATGTGATGTGTTTCGGACAATCATGATCGTGAACCCAATCCTTTGACATTTTTTTGCATACAGTGTTCGATTATAATTTAAAGAACAGCACCTTTTTTAATGTGGCTCAAGCAACTTTTTGTTCAAACCTGTAATGTGATTTGGTTTTATTGGAGAATGCCTTGATAATTTTAAGTTTGAGAATTATAGTTTGTTAGCTGATTTGTCTAAGTAGCAGTCCTAGGAGTGAAATCCTTTAATATTGTGGTTCTGTTTTTCTGAAAGAATTGCACCCTGCCACAGTCTGTGCTACTCACTGTGTAGAGTCAGTCAAAGGGTCTTGTGTGTCTGTCAGTCCAAGCAGAGTGGGTAGGGACCTGACAGTTGTGTATTTGTGGGAGTTGGGTAACTTCTACGTCTATCACCTTTTAGATTTTAAACTGTGAACAAGGTGTGGTGTAGTGGGAGAAGGATGTCAGAAACCATGTTCCCAGCATGATTCCACTTTGACTTTTACAGACGCTGAATTAAACAGGTCATAGTCGTACAGAACAGAAGCAGACTCTTCAGTCCAACTAGTCCATGCTGACTAGAATCCCAAACGAAATTAGTCCCACCTGCTACACTTGGCCCATATCTATCAACATCTTTTCTTATTCATATACTTACCCAAATGTATTTTAAACATCATAACTGTACCTGCATCTGTTATTTCTTCTGGAGGTTCATTCCACACAAACCACTGTATTGTTCTTCAAAAAAAAAACAACCTGCCCCACCTCCTGGTTAACGAATCTTTCTCTTCTCACCTTAAGTAATGCCCCCACCCTAGGGAAAAGACCTTTTTTGTGATTCACCTATCTATGCCCCTCATGATTTTATAAACCTCCTATAAGGTCACCCATCCTCCTACATTCCAGAGAAAAACATCCCAAACTATTTTTATATCTCAAAACCTCCATTCCTGGTAAATCTCTTCCAAAGTCTCTCCAGTTTAATATTATCCTTACTGTAACAGGGTGACCAGAACTGCACACAGTACTCCAGAAAAGGCTTCACCAACATACTGTACAACCTCAATATGACATCCCAACTCCTATACTCAAAGGTCTGAGCTATGAAGGCAAGTGTGCTAAATGCTGCCTTAACCACCCTGTCTATAGCTGACGCAAATTTCAAAGGATTTCATACCTGAGCCCCTAGCTCTCTGTTCTACAAAACTACCCAAGGCCCTACTTTTAATTGTTCAAATCCTACCCTTGTTTATATTACCAATATTCAATACCTCGCATTTATCCAAATTAAACTCCATCTGCCACTCTTCAGACCATTGACCCAATTGATCAAGATCTCATTGTAATCTCTTAATTTTTTTTCACTGTCCACTATACCACCACTTTTGGTGTCGTCACAAACTTATAAGCATGCCTCCTATATTTTCATCTAAATCATTTACATAAATGACAAACCAAAGAGGACCCAGCACTGATCCCTGTGGAACACCACTGGTCACAGGCCTCCAGTCCAAAAAATAATGGTTCACCACCGCTCTGTCTGCTGTTCAGCCAATTTTGTATCAAATTGGCAAGCTCGCCCTGAATCCTATTTGCCACTGTTGTAATTTTATTATTATGCCATAATCCTATCCAGCACTGCCAAGTGAGCATGTTATTGTGTGGTGTCTGCCAACTATGTTTGTCCTTTTTTAAAACCTGTGCTCTGTATTACACTTGCCTTGTGCTGTTTGAAATGACGTTATCTCTTATTGAGCAACACCTAGTTCTGTGACACAAAGCAGTAAATGACAGCTAGCAAAAACAGTTACTTTGCTTCAAACAAAGTATAGAGTGTCAGCACAATAGTACAGTATGTACTGTTTCTGCCTGTATACTTGAAGGGTTCATAGTGGAGGCAATTTAGCTGTTTGAGGTTCTTTTTTGAAGAGTCCTACATTAGACCTCCCTCCTGTCCCAGTATTTTGTTTTTCCTTTTTGAGTTCCTTTTCTTTTGTTTTGGAAACCACTATTAGATCATGTCCACTATTGGGCAATGCTTTCCAAATCCTAATTACTTATGGTGTAAACGTTTAAATCTGTGTGGTTGATGGCAAAATGAATCATCCAGGAAAGTGAGCAGAACCTTGCATTTCTTGCTAAATTGGAGTTTTTCTATTTCAGATTAGTTTGACAATTACGACAATTTTTGCTAGTGTCCTACTCTGCCTGTTCTAACATAAGATGGTGTGTTTTTTTTTAACCAGTTCTGCCATTGTTTTATTTGCTGATTTGGGTGTGAACAGTGATAACAAGCCCAGCACTACTTGCCTGCTCGCAATTGCCTTGAAGATCTGTAATTGCACATTTAGCAATGTCCACTTGAGGTCCCTCTCTTTTTTAATTAAAATATTCAGCTATTGCCCTCCTACTTTGGCTCCTGTATGTAAATCCATTTTCTGATGTTTTCACACTGTAATCAACGTCTACTTCATTTATTCATTTGAACTTGGTTTTGATACGACCTTCTGATTTTACCTCTGCTGTATTTCGTGTTTGCAAATTGGCAGTTTAGTAGATTTGTAATCTGCAAACTGGTAGATTAGTAATTAACACCTTTTTGTTTGGATTCACAGCAACAACTATTGCTTTCAGTGTATTCCCAGTAGAGAGCAATCTAGAAAAGAGGAGATGGGGTCTGGGAATGCTGTGATTGTTTAACATTTGAAGTTGGAGAACTTTTAAAGATTGGTGTATATTTATAAATTGTACTTTGTACAATGGGCAAAGAATGCTGTCTCTTCATTTAAAATTTATTGTGTATAATGTTAAGATATTTCACTGCTGCGATGGTTTTTTTTTGGTGAATTAAAACAAATCTCTTCTGTTGGAATAGGATATAATCACCAGGATGGAAGAACTGGCTTTGAAGTGGCCAAAAAAATCTGCTCGTTTCCCAGCAAACATTATTAAATGACGCTGTCTTCACTAATGCCACATTTACATTGCATTTTAGTGGAGGAAATTTAAGATTCTGTTTGCCTTTGGTGTGGTGGATTGAATTGGCTGCAAAAGCTAGAGTGCATCCAGGAGTAATGGTTTGTGCTATGACCCTCAATAGCACTGTATTCAGATGATATTATATTAGGAGATTTAGTGAAAAGATCTGGTTAATAGTTTGGTGCTTTTATGGACCAGACTACACAAAGTGGCATGTTCTTTTTTTTTTCCAATAAAAGATCTTTATGCAGACCCTTTGCTTTTGAGTTTTTTAAAGATCTAAATGTGTAAATGTTTAATTTTAGATTTGAGGCTAAATATCACTTGTACTGGCTTCTGAAAACTTGCATAAAGTTCTGAGAACAGAGTGAAACTAACAGACCAATATAATTCTCAAAATTTAAGAATCAACATATTTAAAAGCTATTTGGAAGACTGAAATTTATGTACCATACTCCTATATGCCAGCCAGTACACATGCAGTATATTCACAATGGGACCTCCTGCTGTTCTGTTATGTATTTGTTTGGTTTATCCATTTTTTAAATTTGTGGTGAAATTGCTGATTTTTTTTTTTCAATTCCCAACCCCTTTCCCTGATGATCATCAGAAGATTTTCATTCTGCTCTCAAAACCTCAAATCAAATTGCACTTTTTCTGCTTTTACTGCAAACTGGTTCTGCTGAAGTTGTGATGCACTTAATGTTTAAATTCCCAAATCTACCTAAATGTGAACCAAAACTACCTCCAATTGCTATTCCATTTATGAATATTGTGACCAAGTGTGACCATCTTTTTTTTGATGTAGAATTGGCAAAACAGTGCTGTAATTGGACAGGAATGTAGGTCAAATTGTTCACGGACCGATCTAAAGATTAACGGGATGTTTAATCTGGACTGCACAGCACCACCATACTGACATGATTGGTTTTTCTTTAACTCTGCATGGTAGGATCGAGACTTAAAAAGTTGAGTTGAAAATTGAGACTTTAATTGTAACATGTAATTCATCTGTATTGGATTGCATTTTTCTTTTAAGTAGCTTAAAACAAAAGTCCTTTGCAGTGTGATGGTACTTTTGATGTGTTGCAAGATGCTGGAAGCTTCCTTTTTCAGTTCAGTTGTGCTTAGTTACTGAAAGTGGATTTTTGTTTTGTGAATTTTGCTGTTTTAGATTCATTAAAGATGTATCTAAAAGCCATGACAATGGGCCTTTTTTAATCTAATCTTCAATTTTTTCCACTCTTTTGGGGAAGGTTTGAAATCTGCTGCAAACTCTGGTTATGCTGCACTATGAAATGTAAAATTGATTTTACAAGAATCAGTGTTTTAAATCAATTTCTGATAACTGTAGTGTATGCCAGAGGATTGAACCACCAATAGAAGCCTAAACTCTGGCAGTGAGTCAAATAATTCCAGTAACAAAAGCTACAGCATCTTTTTGGTTTCTGGGTGATACTACACCATTTTGGTTTTTTTTTTGAGTATTTTGAATTGCTGACCTCTCGACAATACCAATAACACAAAACACTGTTAAACATAGAAACATAGAATAGGAGCAGGAGTAGGCCATTCAGCCCACCAAGACTGCTCTGCCATTTCTTATGATCATGTCTGATCATCCAACTGAGCATTCTGTTCCTACTTTTTCCTCCCCATACTATCTTTCTCCCTAAAAACTATATCTAACTGCTCCTTGAAAACATTCAATGGTTTAGCTGCAACTGCTTTCTCTGGCAGAGAATTCCACAGGTTCCCCACTCCCTGGGGGAAGAAATTTCTCCTCCTGTCAGTGCTAAATGGCCCACCTTGTATCTTTTGTGACCCTTGGGTATGGGCTTGTTGGAACACACCTCTTGTGTTTGCCCTGAAATAGGAGTTGGGTCAAATATCCAAAACATTGGTCAGCAGTTGCTTTTAATCCTTGTAAAGGAAAGAAGCATGAGTAAAAAGGGGAGCGGTCTAGGGGGTATTTCCAGAGATTTGGGTCCTAGGTAACTGATAGTGTAACTACCAAAAAGTGCAGTGGTTTTTTTTTTTATTTCTCATATCGAAGAGGCCAGAATTCTAGGACCATAGCTACCTTGGGGAATCTGAGGAGATTTGGTTTTTAGATGCTTTAAAGATGAGAATTCAAAAATCAAAATATTGTTTGATCAGCTAGTAACTTGGTCAGTGAGCACAGGGGTGTTGAGGGAATGGATACAAGTTACAATATAAATGGCAGTTTTTGAAGAATCTTTTTGTTCATTTCACGGGATGTGGGCACCATTGGCTAGGCCAGCATTTATTGCCCATCCTTAAGGGGTGGGGCAGCTGAGTCCGAGGGGTTGCAGTCGCATGTTTGCCAGACAAAGTAAGAACGTCCCTGCAGGATATTTAATGAAAAGGATATTAGTGAACCAAATGGGTTTTTCCTGACAATTGACAACTGTTTCATTATCATCATTAGACTTCATTCCAGCTTGTTTTTTTTTTTTTTTTGAAACTTAAATCCCACCATGGCTACATTCAAACCTAGTCCCCAGGAATTACCTGTATCTCTGGATTAATAATCCCAATAGCCTGTTTCACCCTTTAAATGTAGGATATCAGACCTCACAGCTTTAGTATTCTCATCACCACAGGATCCAGTTATTCAGGCACTAACCTGAGGCAGGCAGATCCACTGAAAAAGAACTTTGATTCTAATCTTCCCTTGTAGACTTTTCATCCTTCCCCCAAATAAACTTAACAGTCAACTAAACCCTTCTCTGTATTGTACATAATTCACACCAAGTCCTGTTTTGTTGCCCCTGTGCTTAGTGTAGCCTTTCTTGTTGCCATCCGTGATTCCAAATCCTTTATGATCTTAGCTCCCTCTAATCTCCAGATTCTCTGTTTATCCTCCAATTCTGTATGGCTGTACGTGCTGATTTATTTTTAATTGCTCCAAGCTTTTGGTTTGTAGCTTAGTGTCTGTCCCATTCTCTTTGATAATACTGTGAAACACCTTGGGATGCTCTGAGACGTTGTGTTATATAAATGTAGGTTGTTGATATTTACTCCATATATGAAACTTTTTCATTTTTGTTGCATTCAGATAGTTTTCACTCTGCATTCAGCTGTTCTGATGACCCTAGGGAAAGGCCGTCTTCTCCTATAATGGCCTTTTGTTTCAATGATCTTTTGAGCAAATTCAAAGTACTATAAAGTTATAGCACAATAACATTTTCCCTCACTCCAACTAAATAGTGACTAAACTGCTCATTCCTTTTCATTGCACAATCTAGTGAATAAAACTGGCAGACTAACTACTTTTTTATACTTCTGCCAGGTGCAAAAGACTGCATGGCCAATTCATTACTTTGAAATGTCGTAACTTGTTTTGTGGGAAAATGGCTGAAACGTGTTCTATTTGGCTTTTGGAGCAGGAGTGTATAGCATCGGTTGGCAGCTTGTTTAGGGTGATTGACTGCTGTCTGGACAGGATCAGATCACATAGTTTTGTATGTATAAAGACTGGAATTTGATCATGCTTCACTTGGAAATTGGCAATTTGATGTACATGTGGTCCCTTTTTATTTTTTGAACCTTTTGCCATTGTACTGCAACTTCATACTTCTAGAAAAATCAGCTCTAGAAATAGCATGGGTTAAAATGTTCACTAGAAATGGGAGCAGGAATAGGCCATTCAGCCCCTTGAGCCTGCTCCATCATTCAATACAGTCATTGCTGCATTCATCTCCACTTACCTGCCTGCTCCCTGTAACCCTTCAACTCATTGCTGATTTAAAAATCTATCCATTCCTTCAATGTTTTCTCACTGTGTTAACCTCTATTGACTGCTTCCAGGTGACAGGATCATTTCTTTTTGTCTTTGCTCAACCAATCAAAAATAGCTATAATTCTTGTTTATGGTACACAAAATGTTTGCTTCATTTTTCCCTGGCCCTGGGTCTTCCAGGGACCTTCAGTCATGATTGGATCGCTGCTGCATTCAATTCCATCCAGTCTTAAAAACACCATGTTCCTTCTGAGCCCATCCTCTCCAGAAGTGTGAAGAGCTCCGAAGCAGAGTAGAGTCTGTGTTAGATACAGTTCCGAGGGTAGAAGGGATCAAAGGATATGGGGAGACAGTGGGAACAGGGGACTGAGTTGGATGGTCAGCCATGATCTTTTCGAATGGCAGAGCAAGCTTGAAGGGCTGAATGGCCTTAGCCTGTTTTTGTGCGCTTTTTATGTTTAAAGATTTAAGTTATTGGTATTGTAAGAGGTTAGCAGCTCAAAGTACTCAACAAAAAAAAACTTGCTACAGTGGATAAAGTGAGTGGATGAGTAAGTGACTGGACACGGTGGATGAAAAGGTAGTCCGGTTAGTGGGAGAGAGCATTAATGTCGGAAACCATGACTAGGGAGTCCATTCTGAGTGACTCAGGAATGTAGTCTAATGTTCTAATAAGTCCTATGATGAATTAATCCAAAAGGTTACTCAAGAAGTCTAATGGTCCAAAGGCTCAGACTTCAGTTTAAAGTCGGAGAATTCATATAGACTGTTAAAGTTTGCATCATCGTTAATCGTGAAGATGCCAGTCAATTCCCATGTAGGTCAATGCATCAGGAGATCCACGGTGTTCCAACCGACATCTTAGTCATATGTCCAGTCTTGAACGATGCAGAGACTGGAAGCTTTGGGCCTCTGCTGTTGTGCTAATTGACTAGAGTGTATTTTGAAACAGCTTATACGACCAAAAGTCTGAGTGACATTTTTCCTGAGATGGGAGGAGGATTGTAGAATTGCCACTTTGATATCTGGAAATGAGATTTTTTTTAAACCTATCTGCCAAATTTATGCTGTGCAGTATTTAATTTTGGCTGATTTTAAATGTTGGAATTTTGGTTTTAGCCTTCATTTTACTTTTATAGATGGAAAACAGCAATTTGGAGTCATCAAACTAATTCTCAATTTTACAGAATATTTCCTCTTTACATGGAGAAAGAGGCTAACAATGTATCAAGGTGGCATTTGTTCTTCGAGGTTATAACAACTGGGGCATTTAATACTCTACTCTTTTTAATGAAATCTCAAGATGTCTGAGTTCAATCTTGTACCTGGAACATTTTTAGAAATTTCAGGAGTAAGTTTCTTTTAAAAACCAGAAGGTTAATTGAGTTTTCTGGCAGCTGGCATTTAGACATGTCTGATGTTAATAGTACTCTTGCTCATTATGCACCTTCATTGCCTTCACCTCTGAACGGTGTGAACTGTAGAAATGTCAGTTATTTTTATGATGTTGCACTGAAGTTCAAAGAAGATAATTAAAATGACTGAATAATGTTTGCAGTTTAAACACTCAACTAAAATTCCTGCCCTTCATGCAAGGACAACAATCCAATTGTGTTTTCTACTTCTGGTCTTGCTGCATTTGCAAAAAGACCAGGGGATATGTTTTTAAGGTGAGAGGAGAGAGATCTTTTTTAAAAAAAAAAAAAGACATGAGGCAAACTTTTTAGACCACAAGTTGATTCACGTGTGGAAAGAACTTCCTGAGGAAGTGGTGTTGTACGACTCTGATTCTATCCAAATACTAATGTTGAGGGAGTACATTTTGGTGGCTAAACTAATACCATTTCACCCCTGTTGCAGGGCTTGCTCAAAGTAAGCCTTAATTCCTGCTAGAACCATCAAGTTTGTGCTATGCAATTATCAATATATTTACCCACAAACATTTGAGGTATAGAGACTCCAGAATCAAATTGCACTGGCCAAAGATCCAGTCGGATTTCACTCTGGATTGCAAACCAAAATGATACATGTTAGAGTGTGGAATGCACCCTAGCTAAATAAATGTGATATAACCAAGGTACATGCAAACTGCTGAAAATAATGAAACCTCATCCCAAGTAGCTGAACTGCCTGAAATGTAATTTTTCTTTTTGCAATAAATAGGACTTCTTAAAATGACAGTAGACTTCCTAACATTTCATCATTTTAAACCATTAACAAATATCATACCTAACAACAAACCAGAACTATTGAAATAACCCTGTTATTTTCATAGAGATTAATCAATAAGGAGGCAGGAAAAAAAGTATAATTAACTTAGCTAACTAGCACTAGCTCAGGTTAGAGTGAGTCCTGATGCTAGTCTGATCTAGAAATGTATTGTTCGACAACGGAGGAAAGGAAGGTTTCCTAATAGCTTCAGGTTTATCTAAACTTGT